TAAAAATAATTAATTATTAATAATTAATTATTAAAATATTATTTAAAAGTTTATATAAATAAATATTTTTATTAATTAAAATTTTAAAATAAATTATTATTATTATTATAATACTTTTATTTAAATATATAATTAAAATTAATATTTATATATTTAATAAATTAATTTATATATTTAATATTTTTATTTATTATTTAATATTTATTTTTAATAATTTTTATATTTATAAATATTTATTAAATTAATATTAAAAACTTTATAAAATATTTTTAATTTTAAAATTTTAAAATATAAATTTTTTAATATTTTTTATTTTTATTTTTAATAATTTTTTAATATAATTTTTAATTTATATATTTTTAAATATATTTAAATATTAAAATTAAATAAATATTTTATTAATATTTTAATATATTTTAAAAATATATAAATTAAAAATATATTAAAAATATTATTAAAAATTATTAATAAATTTTAAAAAATTATTAAAAATAAAAATTAAAAATATTAAAAATATATTATAAAAATATTAAAAAATTAAAAAGAAATTAAAAATTTTAAATTTTAAATATTAAAAATTAAATAAATATTTTATTAATATTTTAATATATTTTAAAAATATATAAATTAAAAATATATTAAAAATATTATTAAAAATTATTAATAAATTTTAAAAAATTATTAAAATAAAATTAAAAATATTAAAAAATATATTATAAAAATATTAAAAAATTAAAAGAAATTAAAAATTTAAATTTTAAATATTAAAAATTTAAAAGATTTTAATTAAATATATAATTTTATATAAATTTTATATATAATAATAAAATATTATATATATAAATATTAATTTATATAATTATTAATTTTAAATAAATTTAAAATAAAAATTATTTTATAATATATTATTTTTAAATTTTTATAATAAAATATTAAATTTTTAAAAAAGTTTTAAAATAATTTATAATTTTATAAAAATTTATAATAAAAATTAAAGTTTTATAAAAATTATAAAATATATATAAAATTATTAAATATTTATATATAATTTTAAATTAAAAATAAATAATTAAATAAAAATATTTATATAATATAAAAATTTTAATATATATAAAATTATTAATATATATATATATATATATAATAAATTTTATTTATATAATAATTTTTTAAAATTATTTTTATTATATAATTTTTTATAATAATTAATTTATAAATTATTTTATTTATAATTATATTATTATTAAAATAAAAATTTTTTATTTTATTTATATATTATAAAATTAAAATTATAAATATTTATTATATTATAATTATAATTATTAATATTATATTTTTAAATATTAAAATTTATATATATATTATTATATAAAATATTATATATATTTTAAATATATATAAAATAAAATATAATATATTTTTAAATATTATTATTAAAATAAAATCTTTTATTTTATTTATATATTATAAAATTAAAATTATAAATATTTATTATATTATAATTATAATTATTAATATTATATTTTTAAATATTAAATTTATATATATATTATTATATAAAATATTATATATATTTTTAAATATATATAAAATAAAATATAATTATATATTTTTAAATATTAAATTTTAAATTTTTATTATTATATAAAATATTATATATATTTTATATATATTAAAATTAAAAAAATTATAAAATTAATTAAATTTTTTAATTTATAAAAATTTGAAAAAAAAATTATATTAATAATAAAAAATAAAAAAATATATAAAAATAATATAAATTTAAAAATTAAATAAATAAATTAATTAATAATTAAAACTTAATATAAATTTTAAATAAAATAAATACTTTTAAGTCTTTAAATATTTTAAAAAGATATATATAAAGGAAGATATATATTTTTATTAGGTTGGCCGTAATTTAGAGATTATATAGATAATGAACGAGCTTAGTGCCTCTATTGCCTTAGAGTCGCCTTATGTGTTTGTGTGGGAAAATTTGTATATTAACAAGTAGAAATCAACAATCCGGCGGTGTCGGGGCAAGCTCCTCGTCCAAAGACTATCTGTATCTGAGACTGTCTTCAGGGGCACAGCACAGAGCACAGACGCCCACGACCACCACTCGGAAAGATTTCGCTGGGGCTCCCATCGGGATGTACAGACATGATATTAACAGAAGCCTCGAGAACTGAGGTAGTTCAGTAGTCAAGCTGCGGCGTGCTGAGCTTTTTGAGCCTTTGCGTGCGCACGAAGAGGCCGCCAGATATAGAGGACGGCGAGGTTAACTCATGCGAACCCCGGATTGACGTGATGCGGTTAATAAAAAGGGATTTGCAATAATGCTTACTAACGTAGTCCGGGGGTCAACGGAATGTGTTCCGGTGTGGCTTGGTTGCCCTTCAAATGTTTGCTCACGAGAGCGGCGCAAACGCCACAGCCAGCGCAAAGACTTTACACGCCTCGCAACTCACGACGAAAGAGACTGCTGGATTTCCATGCCCGCTAGGAGCTGAAGAAATGTGAGGTACTCTGATGGAAAGCCTTGCCCCGGCTGCTTTGGCCCCTAGGCAACGTCTGACGAAGCGTGGATTGGAACTTGCTGCTCAGCATCGAAACCTGGACTTTTGCGAAGGCATGATCAGCTTGCGTGTCCCTGTCCCCCCATTTAAAGAGATCTGACTAACTTAACTTAATTTTTTAACGACATCGCGGAGATAGGGATGTTTACTCGCTTATAATGTAGTTTCGGCCGGTGATTAGTTAGCAGGTTGCTGGCGAGGCTTTTAACCGCCGGACGATCGTATGATCAATGCCTTAATTAACGTTGAAGTTCCTTGAAATGGACAAACTATTTTGGTAGTAACAATAAATCACCGCTGTACCTAGGCGTTCCAATCCTCCATAGTCCTACTGTAATGACTATCCATACAATTAAATCTTTACAAGTCAAAAAACATCCTTGCAGTGCTCAGTCACCTCAGTTACTGTCAATATTCTTTCCCACTAAAACAGTCAAGATCTTGTGTTTCAACTCGTCTGGCACGTTTGTAAATGCCTTCCAACAATGCCTTATGTGGGCTTCAGCACCGTCTTCCGTCTCAACTAAAAGTCTTGCTTTGCCCAATGCGAATCCACGATATTGGAGTAACCACCGGTAGTAACAGTGCGTAACATGCTGTTCCCAAGTGGTGAACTTGGGACCCTGGTAGAACGGAATCTGCTCATACGGGATCTCGATCGTTCCTTGCTGGTCTTCATAAAAGGACCATGCCTTTGATGCCTCATCGAACTCGGCAATGATCTCTTCATCATAACATTCCTCTGGAACCCACGCATTGATGACACGATGGTAGCGACAGCCTCGTGCTACTGCACCATCCGGAGTGTCGCCGCATACGTCACAAGTTTTTAACGACATCATGTCGTTCACCAAAGACCAAAAGGCTCTACCCGTATCGAAAATACCCCAGACCGCGAACAAGAGAAGAACGCAAAACAGAAACTGCTTCCCAGCTTTCCGTTTGGGGGCTCGTGATCCTCGTGATGACGATGAACTCTTGGGTATGAACGGTGCACAAGGTGCATTGCATTCACGAAGGATTGCTTCTTCGTCTGTTTCGGAGGCGTTCATGATTGTGGGGTGGAATTGAAATCCCGTTCTCATGAATTCTACCGAATATCAGTCAGTATTTCATGTCTGAGACTCAACGTCTGGACTTCTTTTAGACATGCCTGTGTTTTCAATGCTCGCTTCAGCGTACTCAGTCCATCCCAAGATGAAAAGTTCAGGGTCGAGAACGGGCAAAGACCGAAGTCAAAAGCCCTGGCGGAGAAGTGCAATTGCCAAGATCCCCCGTGGTGCATCGATCGCCACGAAAATCGCGCGATAGCCAACGTTTGATGAAAAGATATTTTATCACAAGCTCGGGGCTCCACTACTGTAGGGCCCTGTTGTCCATGCAAGCGAGCGCCGGAAGCTTCACTTCCTCTAGGTAGTGTAGATACCAATCAAATTGCGCTATCGGATGTGCCGAGCTGGTGCGTCGTGCATTCATTCCCATTCATCGGATATTCACGTCACGCCATCAGTTACATATGTGCACGCGCACAAGGACACGCACGCCTCTGCAGGCATCCTGACCGGCATTACTACATTTTCCCCTCTAACAAAAAGTTTTGCCCAACAAAGTGGGGGCAAAACTTAAAGTAGATGTGTTGGCTAGGGTCCTGCATTGCCTTTTTACACTTGAAAAGATGCGCAAAAAATAACTTTGAGAGCCCCTGCTATTACAAACTTAATTAGCACTCGCGTTTTCTGTAGTCGTACAATTCGACATGACTGACCGCCACACAGGACATGGTATGTTTTGAAGTAAGACAAAGTAAGCCCCACCTCGCTTCTGCCATTCGAGCTTCCATGAAGTCCGACTGGCTGAATGGTTGGGCGGGCCTCCTCGTGATTTCCTCTATCAATCATCGATAGGCAGGCGTTTGTGATAGCAGGGTGGGTCAACAAAGAGCCAATGTCGACAGGGACAACTTAAGCACCGGAACTGGCGCATGCTATACCGGAGAAGTTAGCGCCTACGTTTGTCATCTATGGTGAGAATTCGACTGTCACGAAAAGTTCCTAATCCACTCGGAAATACACGGGTCTCAGATACGGAGCCACCAAAGCTGTAGACATCTCGGTGTTTGCGATTTTTAAATAGGAGTTTTGTTGCCAATTTCAAAATCTCCGTGCAGCAAGTATCAGGAAACTCAACATCACATGACAGAATCCAGGTTCTTTCCGCTTTTCACTAACATGTCTCATTATCTTGAAGCTGCTCAAGACGACGAATATGCGGAAGGCGTCGGCGGAGACCAGGAACACCTATTGGAAAAACCCCAGCTGAAGACGTCAACAAGGACCATAAAAATACTGGTCACTATATGTGCATCGCAACTCATCTTGACAATCTTGCTGGCTCTTCGCAGTTGGAGTCCGAGTTGGCATGGGTGTCACGGAGGAGATATGGGGAGTAGTCCAGGTATCTGGGGCACTGGTGCGGTCACGGAATACTGTAAGCAAATTAGCTATGCCGCTCTATGGTAGGGCCTGGACTGATTCTATCGAAAGGGCAGCTCCGTCAGAACATTCGTACGGTTCGAACGGTATTCGTCAACCCCCTCCGGCCAAATTACACGGCCAGCACGTGGGACATCGAGTACGCCGAAGGACAAAAGAGATATACCGGTCCCCCAAGCGACGATATTGAACGGTCCTGGGATGACCTGATGGCGGGTGAGCTTGGCAGCCTCGGTCTCCCATCCTACCTTTTTAGCTGACGCCGTTCCCTCCTGCAGCTATCAATTTCAACGTGTCCGGCGAGCTGGCGTCGCCTGTCGAGGGAGAAACTTTCCATTACCCGGATGGCCATTACCTGCTCGGGCTGGAAGTATTTCACGGCCTGCACTGCGTGGTATGTTACATTCAGTATCATGTAATAGGGAGATCTAGTGCCTGAGGTCATTCGCTACGCATGGCAGCTGCGACTAGTTACTTGGATGGGATCTCTGATCTGGACATTTTACAGAACATCATGCGCAGAACAGTAAGCTCTGGGGCACTCCACGCCAATAGCACAATGGATAATGAGCTGTGGGCGAAGCATGTCTGTGAGTACCGCTCATACCTGTTCCACCACGGTGACAGCTACGAAGGATGTACAATGATCTTAGACAGAAGATAACCGTTGAGCAGGGCATTGCTTGGATTATTTGCGCCAATATGTGCAATGCAACGCAGACTTGACGCCCATGTTCTTCGAATACATCGGGAGATCCTCCGTAAACCATGACCACAGCCGAAATCTGGCACTAAGGAAGGGGACCGTCCACACCTGTGCCGATTTTGAGGGCATACATGGTTGGGTTATGGATCAAATTCACCAAAGTTGATTTAAAGCGGACTTGGACCAGTACCTACGTAGCCTGAATAAGCTGAGAATGAAGATGACCGGAAATTCGCGCACCCAAAGAGGGGCGGAGCGCACCAGGAGCGCTTGGTCAGTATTGGGTGCGCGACGTCCACTTCAGGGTGCACGGATTTCCGTTCTCAAGATTAGCACTTTGCATCTTGGACTTCCAAGATACATTTGGGCGTACCTCTGCCCAACCAAGGCACTTGCGGCGCCCTCAAGACGAACCTTTAACCATACAAGCAATGTAGAGCTTCGTAGCTTGTCAAATCCTTTGCTTTATTTAATAATATAGACTGTATTACCAATAAACTGACCTCATGTCAACGACAGTACTCCTACGTGCCTACAATAAGAGCTCACAACTTGAGCGTGCCAGAACAACCCCAGGCTGTGGAACACGAGATGCAGACTGCTGTCAATATCCTAGGGGCCTCAGTAGTACAAAGTTCATCTGGCCAAGGCAATCCGCACCTCATATAAAGTTCAACAGACCTCTGTCCTGCAGGATCGCAGTCAAATCACCGGGAGACCCCCCCTCTTTTTTTGTCTAAACTATATCTTTTTGCATTTCGGCCTTTGACACCGCGGAAGTCATTGTGTACTCTACTGACTTTCAAAAAAGTATAAAATATCATGCGTAAGACGGGTGAGAAAGTTGATGCCTGCATCAAGAGAGTTTCCGAGCGCCTCACACCGTTCAAGAGAACTTTTCTCCGCAACCAACCCGATTGCACAGGCCGAATGCCGTCACTCCTCGTGGTAGCACGGCATCAGTGGAAACCTTCGTCAGTTTGAAAGAACCTGCATACCAACCGCCGCGTCACCGTGTGGTGCGGGTTATTCCACTGACGATCTATAATCAAGGTTTTTTCAAACTTTGTGGTACCCAGCGTTGATTTTGATCGGTAGTCATTCTCGGCAGATGAAAGCGACCCGAGATGACAAGAAAATATTCAAATAAAGCGGACACGGCCGGACCTTTACAGAAGTAGAGCCGGAACAGCCTTCCATTAAACATCATTTCGCAGCAAAACGGCAATCTTCTAGCAACGGCAGATTTCATACTCACATCGTATTCCACCATGTACAAGCCTATCGCCCTCCTCCTCTTGTTTTGCGGCGCCATTATGGCCGCGCAAGTGAGTCGAAATCAGGCATTTGATGCAAGTGTCCAGCACTGACCTGCGGGGCTACAGGATGACATGGGCAACAACCCGAAGCCCAGGCGCCAGATCGATATCCAGGACTATGAGCCCTTGGCCGAATACTGGCAGGATGAAACAGCTGGGGATAATTGATGGGCATTTGACAAGACAGGACATGAGGGAGGCCGGGCACTAGGATAGCGCATCTGCACATCATCTCGTATGGCCTTGTCATTCTTTTCCAAGGCCCACACCAGTAGCCTCTTCTAGCATAGGTCCAATGACTACCTGCCAATATGTCGTTTCCCTGTTATTGGTTCATCTATCCCCAACTATTTTAAGTTTTTGACGCCGTCGTTGGGTCCCAACAGCTGGCAGACTTCGACATATATCTTTAGCAACATCGGGCCTGCGGATAGCAAACTTGGACGCAAAAGTTAAATTCACGATGAAATCCGGGACCCCGATTTACCGCCGTCTAGTGAATTCAAAAGTGGGCCTCTTGATCTTAACTGTGACATCGGGGGTTGTCTTCTCCTCAGGCTAGCGACTAGGTTAGACTGAGCGAGATTTGTACGTCAAACACGGTTCCATCCTTTCCAAGAGAGCACTGCAAAAAAATAGGAATACTGATATCAGCTGAGACCAAATTTTATTTCACGGTGAAATCACCAGACCCGCACAGACCTTAGCTTAGTGTTGCATAAATAATACCTAGTCAAGGTAACTGCTATTCCTCATTCTTACTCTTCTCACTGGTCTGTAATAACGCATCGAGAACCAAAAGCCAACGAACAGACTCCGTATATCAACTGAAGGGAGTCTCGATGATTGTCTCTCTGCTTCGCATTATCCAAATCCTCCGTTTCACATCTGGATCGGCGGTTTTGGCAGTCTTAATTTGCGGCAGCAGTTTGTTGTACAGCCAGTTCAGGCCATGGGTCGGATGTGGTATTCAGAACCATCCGATTATCGATTTGATGGCCGATGCAGACAGAAAATTCGCCGAGCTGATTTCCAGGCAGGCGAATGTCTCTCAGGACGCAATCCATTTCTACCACTCGAAGCGTGGATGGCCAATCCCAGACGGGTTCAGGGAGTGGCTGCGGCTCGCTCAAGAATATGGCGCAATTCTGATAGAAGACTTTTGGGATCCCATCTATGAAGATCTCGCACCCTTCTGGAATATGGATCCCGTTAGAGTTCGGGGCTTGGCGCGGCAAATGACGTACGGAGAGCAATCAAATAACATTGATGGCTTTTGGGTCCGCGAGAATAAGCCTGGTACTGATTGCCAAGAAGACTTCTGTCTTTGGTTCCTAGAGCTACTAAGACAGCTTGTCGCCGACGGTGCTGTGCTTCCCGACGTCGACATTCCGGTGAACTTTCTCATAACGCCAAGAGTGATTCCGCCGTGGGAGGCCACGCAACCCAAATCCATGAGCACCATGACCTCAGTCCAACCTGAGATCCTCTGGCTAGGATCAGGTAGGTGGCACAGCTGACACTGAGATTCAAACAGGCGCAGAATATCTTTCAGCACCATTCTAACGTATACTACAGATACAGACTTCGGGCGCCTATTTAGCGAAGCATGCCCTCCTAGTACGCTGGCCCGCAGAGAAGACAGTCCAGGCTCGAGTAGGCAAACGAGTCACTGGTGCCATGATTCTCATGTATCTCTGGAACACACGGAGACACATATGTACCAAGGATTTATTCGTGACTTCGGGCTCTCGCAAAGCCCGTGTCACCAACCTGACTTACTCCATTTACATTCCAGTTTCTTCAGCCCTCAGTTGCCAAATCCTACAACCGCATTGGTGCCTTGCTTCTCAACGCAGAGGGTGGGGCGTCTCAGCAGAGAAATCCGTATTCCGGCGCAAGCATACTGGGAGGAGTCCCCGCTGTACCATTCCTTGGGCGGTGCGGAACAAGAGCCTGGTCCTGCTGACTGGACGACAAAGACATCCAAGCTTTTCTGGAGAGGCGGAAACACCGGAGGTCCGTTCGACAGCGAAGACTGGAAATGTTCTCACCGTCATCGGTTCGTTGCATTGACGAATGCAACGGAAATAGGACTCGTAAATAGATCAAGCAATTGCCATCTCCGGTGGGCAATGACTGCAGACGCATGCGATCTGGCCCGTGGGGGTCGGGGTGGTTTATATGATCTCGCGAACCAAAACTTCGACGTCGGCTTCTTCGCACTAGGCTGCAGCAAGGAACGCAACATCAATTGTTCATATCTTGACGAGAGGTTTAAGGCCATCCCTCCTGTATCACTGGCCCGAGCACAAAGAAACAAATATCTGATGGACATCGACGGCAATGGGCTTAGCGGTACGTCGACTTTTTAGTGTCCTCCGTCAAGGATCAATCTTGGATGAGATGCTAGCAGTCACACTCTTTAGGGCGATTCCGAAGTTTCATGATGTCGACTTCCGTTCCATTAAAAGCGACAGTCGTCCAGGAATGGCACGAGGGGCGTTTGATTCCCTGGAAGCATTTCATTCCTATAGACAACCGTTACCATGACTTGTGGGGCGTCCTCAACTATTTCATGCCTGGTCACATGTTAGAGCATGACAAGATACGGTGCCCACACCATGCGAATCGGGACGAAGAGGCGATGAAGATAGGCCTAGAGGGTGCTATTTGGGCCAGAAAGGTATTGAGGAAGGAGGACATGAAACTATATGTGTATAGATTGCTGCTGGAATACGGAAGGTTATACAATGGATTCAACAAGACCTTTTCTTCCTAAGCGAAGAGTGTGGAGATAAGTGAACACAAATATTCTTCTACGCGGTGGCCTCATGCCACTAATTGTGTTCTTCTTATACTGTTATCGACATCATGTCTTTTTCTTTAAACGCTGGGTCTTTGAGCGTTTACCACTATATGAAAGGACTGGATACACCTTTGCAGTACACGGATTAAAGACGAAACCACCTATACCTGGTGCAGAATACATAGAAACTTGCACAAATCGAGCGAGATCGGACACATTCTTACCCTCTGCGATAGGCCAGACACACTGGAGTGGGTTCGAACCCTATCAGTGCTACCCAACCACCACAATAGCGTACGTCGAACTGGAAATATCATACGCTTGGTACTGGGCTAGCTGTACCTCTGCACTATGTATTTCCTCCTTATTAGAGGTGGTTGCCCGAAGCGTGTTTCTTTGACTGGAAGCCGGCGTAAAAGAACCTCTTATGTTCTTAATTGGGAAAGCCCTGACGGCCAAAACACATCGTCAAACTCGTGCCACTCATTTATATATAATAGGGCCTAGAATAGGCGTTCCTATTCGTGGGAATACCTTGGAAGCTTGTGACAGGAGTGAAGGGCAGGGGCTGAGGGGTTAGCTATGGGTCCCCTCACCTTCTGCCCCAAGGCCCGAGGGCCAACCTTTCTTCCTTGTTTTCTTCCTCAGGCAGACGTATTTGTAAAATCCATATAATTTGGTGCAAACTTCGAGCCACAGTCCCGTCAAGTCCAAGTGACGTCTTAAAGGTCTGTTACCTGGAAGTGTTTGACAGACCTGGTGATGATCTGCGTTGGGCACCTAGGCTCTTGGCGGATGGAAAGCTCCGCAACGCGTTTAAAGGCCAGTCTTGCGCTGGGCTTTTCCAGGGACAATCCACAGTCTACCTTCCACAACTTTTAAATTAAGTCAGTATACTACATCACACATAGCCCCCCTCATACACTCTATATTTTTATATCCTCCTAATTAGTATTACTTTAATAAATACCTATATTATAAACTCTATAAAAATTATATAATTATAAAAATTATATAATTTAATTTCTCTCCTTCTTTTATATATAATAATATAGTTAAAATCTCTACTTTAAAAGTTTTTACTACCTTAAATAGCTACTTTAATAATAAATCTTAATAAAAGGTATATAATTAATATTATTTTAATAGATTTACTTTATAATAATAAATTATAAATATATTAATCTATAAAGATTATAATTTAAGTTTTTAAAAGTTATTATTAATATAAAAGGTTTTTAATTAATTAAACCTTTATATAAAGCTAATTAGTCTATCTCTTTATATATATCCTTCTTTAATACTTTATAATTTATATTATTAATTAAAATAATTTAAATTTTATAAGTTATATAATCCTTAATAAAAATGAATATATTACTTTATTTAGTAAAATCTATTTTTAAAGATATTTAAAACTATATAAATTAATTATTATTAAATTAATAATATTATAATTAAGTCTTTTATTAATTTTCATAATTATTTATATAACTTAAAACTTTTAAATATTCTTTAAATAAATTAATAATATAATAATAAAATTAATATTTAAAAGGTAATAAAAATAATAATTTAATAATTAATTTATTAAAAAAGTTTTAATTATTAAGAAAAAGCCTTTTAGAAATTATAATATATAATAATAGAGTATATTAATACTTTAAGTTAAACTTTTTACTCTTTATTATATTTAAGATAAAAATAGTCTAATAGTAATAATTTCTTAATAAAAACTTTATTAACTTTAAGGATTAATAATTTACTTATTTAAATATTGATTAGATTAATAATTAAATTAGTTTATAGTAGTTAAAAAGGTTTTATATTTAAGATTAAGTTATTAATTAAAAGAGTTAGTAAGTCTTTATACTTAATAATTACTATTTATATATAATTAAAAACTTTTTTAAACTTATTTTAATAATTAAATATAGTTTATTTTCCTTTTAATATATACTTTATATATATTATAACCCTTAATATTAATATTTTCTCTATCTTAAAGTAATAATATTACTAATAATTAAAGCTTTTATAATAATATATAATATAAAGAAATCCTTTAAGAATTTTTTAAAGTATATTATATAACTTATATAATAGTATTTATTTTATTAAAGGTTAAGAAAGTATAGTTTATAATAAGTATTTAACTTAAATAATAAGAAAAAGGTTTAATTTAAAGTTAATAGTTTTATTAATTATTATAGTTATTATTATATTAACTTAAAAGTACTTAATATATAATTTAAATAAGGAGATAATTAGTATAGATTTAAAAATACTTTATTTATTTTATTAATTATATAAAATTAAATTTAAATTATATAAGTTAAATAACTTTTTAGTTATTTATAGTTTAATTATTCTTTTATAAATTAGGTAAGTTACTTAATAAGTTAAATATATATATAACTATTATTAAAATTAAAAGAGATATATTTATAAATACTTCAAATTATTAAAAGTCTTATAAATAAACTTAAGTTATTTTTAATTTAAATAAAGTATTTATTAATATTATAATATTAAAAGATAAAGTAATAATAAAATAGGTATAATGAATATTTTATTAAAACTTAATAATAATAATATTAAAATTAAAAATAAAGATTTATTAAAAAGTATATTAAAGTATAAAGGTTAAAAATTAAAGAGTTTTAATTAAATAATAAATAACTTTATTAATTATTAAGAAATTTAAGTTTATAGTTATATAGTTAAAATTAGAGTGTTTAATTTAATTATATATATAAAGGGGTTATATATAATATAGTATATTAACTTAAAATAGTTATTATATTTTAAAATCCCCTTTTAAATATAAAGTTAAAAGATTTATAATTATAATTTTCTAACTAATTTTTATTTAATTATTTTATTATATTATAACTTAATTTAACTTTATTTAAACTTTTTAAACCTTTTAATATTTCTCCTTTTAAAATTAAATTTAAAAGAGCTTTTAAACTTAAATTTAAAATTCTTATAAATTTTAATTTTCTTTAAATTAAACTTATAATCTCTTAACTTCTTTAAAAATATATATTAATTATCTTAAATATTAATAAATTTTTTAAAGTAAAGATCTATTTTATATAATTATAAACTTAATTATTAATAATTATTTCTTTTTTATTTATTAGCTATTAAAATTATAAACTTAAATATTATATATAATAATAAAGTATAATTACTTTATCTAAAGATTAACTTTTAATTTAATAATATAATAAGTTAAGTAACTACTTTTAAATAATTTTACTTATAAAGTTAATAAATATATATATTTATTTAAATAGAGTTAAAACCTTTAAAAGAATAATAACTTTTATCTTTATTTATTTTAATTAATTTATATTTATTTAAGTTATAAAATAATTTTATATATAATATTTAATAATATTAAAACTAACTTATAATTTATAATAATTTTAACCTTTAATAAATTAATAATATTAATTTAAATAAACTAAATATAACTTAATACATTAATATAAAAGATATTTTTAATAATAAATAATATTATAAATATAGTAAATTATAAAGTTACTATAAAAATCTTATATAATAATTTAATTAAATTAGTCTTTTAAAGATATATTATATTTTATTTTTAAAACTTTAACTATTTATTTCTAATTTAATAGTAAAATTAAAAATATAAATAATTTATATATTAAAATATTTATTAAAAATAATAAATATTAAATATATAAAGTTATATAATATTTAATTTATATTATAATTAAAA